ACTTTGTAGCTTTACATTGCCAACGGGCGGCTGCTCTAGGAACAGGGGTGCGTCGCCGCCATTTCGTGACGTCATGATAAGTAGGTCCTGTTTTGCTCGTAGTTCCGATGTGGGAAGTTGAGATGCGAGGTTGCGTGCTCAGGGTGTGACGTAAGTGGACGGGCTTCGTGTGATTAACGGAACTCTTCTTGCATCCTGTTGTCTGCTGTTCGTAGTCACGATCGGAAAGTGACACGCAAGGAAGTGAGTAGAAGAATTGTCATTTCGGGAGACTAAAGCAAGGAAGTGAGTAGAAGAGCTGTCATTTCGGGAGACTAAAGCAAGGAAGTGAGTAGAAGAACTGTCATTTCGGGAGACTAAAGCAAGGAAGTGAGTAGAAGAGCTGTCATTTCGGGAGACTAAAGCAAGGAAGTGAGTAGAAGAGCTGTCATTTCGGGAGACTAAAGCAAGGAAGTGAGTAGAAGAGCTGTCATTTCGGGAGACTAAAGCAAGGAAGTGAGTAGAAGAGCTGTCATTTCGGGAGACTAAAGCAAGGAAGTGAGTAGAAGAGCTGTCATTTCGGGAGACTAAAGCAAGGAAGTGAGTAGAAGAGCTGTCATTTCGGGAGACTAAAGCAAGGAAGTGAGTAGAAGAGCTGTCATTTCGGGAGACTAAAGCAAGGAAGTGAGTAGAAGAGCTGTCATTTCGGGAGACTAAAGCAAGGAAGTGAGTAGAAGAGCTGTCATTTCGGGAGACTAAAGCAAGGAAGTGAGTAGAAGAGCTGTCATTTCGGGAGACTAAAGCAAGGAAGTGAGTAGAAGAGCTGTCATTTCGGGAGACTAAAGCAAGGAAGTGAGTAGAAGAGCTGTCATTTCGGGAGACTAAAGCAAGGAAGTGAGTAGAAGAACTGTCATTTCGGGAGACTAAAGCAAGGAAGTGAGTAGAAGAGCTGTCATTTCGGGAGACTAAAGCAAGGAAGTGAGTAGAAGAGCTGTCATTTCGGGAGACTAAAGAAAGGAAGTGAGTAGAAGAACTGTCATTTCGGGAGACTAAAGCAAGGAAGTGAGTAGAAGAAGCTAAATCGCTGCTGGTCCTCGCCAGCGCAGTGTGTCACGGGACTGCGTGACGTCACATCGCAGTGGCTGTCGGTCCTAGTATCGGTACTGACTCCATCTACAAATGTAGGTAACGTCCCTGTGCTTGACTGACTGAGCACTGCGCCATGAAGACGTAGGGAGGAATGGATGTATAGGTCCACGTATTCTTGATATCGGCACTAGATGAAGGTGAGTGGTAAGGTACACTCCCCGGTCGATTTACCCTTAGTACCCATTAGATAGGAGGCTGGGTGGTCTCGAGAACATGCCTGGACGACGTACCCATACCGGGGCTGTAACTCCGAACCGTCGGCCGTCTATCCTGTAGCCACTCACTGTACCGACGCGCTGTCCTCGCTCCCGCGCCTGTAAACAACCAACGCAAAAAGAAAGAACACCTCTGAGCTAACCTGTTAACTTGCCTGCCGGGAAGCCGTGGGGTTGCCATTGTTGCGTCAGAAGGGTATTAACATTAATTGGTGTGGAATGCGCGCTCTCAGTGGAGACAGCTGGTCGGGCCGGCGCAGGCCTGCCAACAGATCGATTCACTTCTGGGCCAGATGGTGTGAAGCTGTGAGGCTAGGACGGGTCTCAGTTTCTCCACATTTTAGGGTAATAGTGACCCTGAAGACGGAGGCGGCGGTCTCCTCGAAACGTTGACTGAGGGTGCCGAGGAGAACGTTCGGACTTGAGAGGGATGAAGTGACAAGGGGCTGGAAGAAAGGGCCTCATGCTTTGTGCTGGCCGCAGGATATTGTTACGGCAGTTAGCATGCGAGCGGAGACTGAAGGTCTGAAGATAATATTGTCGTGTGAGAGAGTTACTGATTGGTAATGACACTTGCAGATTTTAACTGCAAATAACTGTAGCGCTATCTCTAATTCACACACACAGAATTTCACAGCACGCACTACGTCTTGTCAGTCTGCTGGGTCTTCACCAGTCGTTGGCTGGTAACGGCTTCCAACGCTGTAGACCTCTCAACTTTCGTGTTCACGCCCTTGCCTGTCGGCGACTGTCCGAGAACTTAGCTCTAGACTAGTCCTGCTTATGACACTTCTGTCGTTGGCTGGTAACGGCTTCCAACGCTGTAGACCTCTCAACTTCGTCTTCACGTCCTTGCTGGTCGGCGACTGTCTGAGAATTTAGCTCTAGACTAGTCCTGCTTATGACACTTCTGCACGGATCGCATAGAAGCACCACTTCCAGCAGTTCTATTATTGTGTCACGCAGCTGTCCCACGGACCGCGCAGAGAACGACGCATCCAAGTTGTTCCGTTCGTGCTTGTTAGGAATCTGTCGCCCAGCAACAGGCGTTGCTTACAGAGTCATTGCTTAGCAACGGGTCTGCGTGTAACGATATTAAAATTAGATACTGTAGTCTGCAGACGATGGTGTATAACACACAGAGATACTGGGTTTTCGGACTTTGTCCATCGTCCGGATTCTAAATAACTAAGAAAAAACACGACGTTTCGGAAACTGGATCTGTTTCCGTCCTCAGGTGAGGGAAGACACCTACTCTGTTGGGTCCCTCAGTCACTGGTCCAGTTTCCGAAACGTTGTGTTTTTTCTTAGTTATTTAGAATTCGGACGATGGACAAAGTCCGAAAACCNAATTCTAAATAACTAAGAAAAAACACGACGTTTCGGAAACTGGATCTGATTCCGTGAGGGAAGACACCTACTCTGTTGGGTCCCTCAGTCACTGGTCCAGTTTCCGAAACGTTGTGTTTTTTCTTAGTTATTTAGAATTCGGACGATGGACAAAGTCCGAAAACCCAGTATCTGTGAATTGGTCGTAAAGAAGTTGGTTGATGTGAGGGTGTGGGCTCAGAATAGCGAGCAGTTGCGGGCTGTTGTGAGCGCGGTGATGAGCGCAGTGGTTCTCGGGAGCTGTCCGTGGCGATGGTGTGCTGCAGCACCGCGGTCAGCCCCCGGCGTCCAAGCGCCGCGCCGTGAGGACGCGTTCCCCTCCACCGACCGTCGCGGTCGGCTGGGCACTGTGTTCGGGTCTTGATGCAGGGACGATCGGCACGCCGAGTCCGTGACCCCCACCAGGCAAATATCTGAATAGCGCCTCAAAGCAGACCTCGATTTGAGAGTCCTAGCCATGTAGGCTAGTAGAAGTTTACCGACGTTTCGGAACAACACGGCTTCTCTTTCAAGGTTGAAATTAGTGACCTCCCCATAGATGACAGCTATGTTGGATTTGAGGTTCCCACAGAGGTGACTCCTCGTGTGTGACGCCGTGTAGTCTGAGCTACCGATAGTGTTATTAAATAAATAGTAATGAAATGTATGGCCATCACTCATGAAGCTGAGCCCTTCTTCAGAATCTGCCAGTTGTGCAGCTACTCAAGAACGTGCCAACATTTTATGGAACCCGAAGGTTCGTTAGTGTGTTCACGAGAGGTTTCCGCTGGTCCCTATCCTGAGCCAAATGAAACCCGTATGGGCCTCCACGGCCTGTTACAGGGATAGTTTTGTTTAGGAGGAGGGAGTATGGAGGTTACTCCACAGATACTAAAGCACTTAAACATTCAGGTTCATCTGTGTCCACCTCGTTTCCGGCAAAAATATCGAAATTGAATTTCGTAAAATATTACTACAAATAATAATTTCTTTAAAATGTTCTCCTGTCCTATGGAGTCCCATCGATAAACAGAATCATTACGCGGTTGATGACCTGACTTTGTGGGCAAAATTTCTGGCTCCTCCATCCCGTCCCATGGGAAAATGCCCTTGTGGCGCCTTAAGACGCAGAGGACCGTACGAAACGCATAGTGCGGAGCTGGACGGTATTGTATGGGCAGTAACTGCAGGAACGCTGTCCTGGCGGAGCATCCTTATTCATGCTTCACATTCTGTATACCCGAATCAAGTTCTACTGAAGTAAGGATGCCCACTCGAAGCACAGGGCCCAGTTAGGGCCACATCGGGAGCCAACACAGAGCGCGGCGCTGTGCCGTGCGCGCACGTACACACACCGACCGTCGGCGCCTTTTCGCATACGGCACTAAACGCACACGCAAGGTAAAGCCATCCCAGTAGTAGGCCGTCGAGACTCCCACAGTTTCTAGACAGGTGGCTCGCAGATGGGGCTGAGGTCAGCCTTACTCTCCGGCCGGCCACGAAGATTCCTGGTACTCATTTCTATCAGATGCTGAGCCGACCCAGGGCCATAGTGTGGCCATGGAAACGAACTTCGGGACAGCACCTGAAATTGAGCCGAGCCCACGTCCTTCCCGGACCGTCATTCAGCCGTACAGTCTGTGCTACCGACAGCCGCGTTGAATGATCCAGAAATAAAATAACCGCAAGAGATCCTACAGCATGAATGAATGAGAATGTGGTGCCGAGCGATGAATAAGTAAGGACTAGGAAGGAGGCGATTTTGACCTGTCAGGTGGAGACAATGAGAGAGTAGGTAGAGTAACTAGCGTAGATTCGAACCCGAGTCCTGTGTTGAGTAGTGAGATGCTACCAATATTATGTTTCTGGACGTTATCCACACTTTGTCTTCCGTCCTGTTTATTTTTCAAAACAACGTTTCCGAGACTGGATTCTGCCTCCGTCTTCAGGTGAAACCTACTCAGTTGGGCGCAATCCTGACCGAAGATAGGGACTAGCTCTGTCGACTGGGTCCAACTGAGTACGTTTCACTTGAAGACGGAGGCAGAATCCAGTCTCCGAAACGTTGTGTTTTGAAAAATAAACAGGACGGATTTTAGGTAAAGACAAGACGATGGATAACGTCCAGAAACACAATATTTGCACTAATGCAGCATCGTCACAAACGTTTAGATCTTATTAACAGAGATACTGTATCTCGCCGTCCTCGTGACACATTTTCCGGACAAACCGATGAGCACAATGATGATTGGTTGCGTCATGTAATGATGATTCTCTTTTTCTCCGCAGGTTCTTTCGGCGGACGTGACTGGCGCCTGCGCCCTAGGAGGCCAATGGGAGTCCGGAGCGCGCAGGCACTGAGGCAGTGTTGTGAGTGGAGCGCAGACGTGTGTGTGCTGCGTGTGTTTGCTGAGCAGGGACGCCGCCTGTCCGGCGGATGTGCTGATGGGATGGTTCCGAAGAATGCAGTATCCGCTCGCATGGTCGTTGTGAAGGATTCATTATTATGTGACGGGGACGTTCTGGAAAGTAAACGTTCGTGTGACAGGGACGTTGTGAAGGACCAGTTAACGTCTGACAGGAACGTTTTGTATTGTGCCGGTGTTGCGAGCAGCCCCATATCATGTGACCGGTGTACGGGGCCGATCGGAGTGCAATGTGCTGAGGCGGGGAATTCAGTATTATGTAATTTGGATTGTGTGGAGGAGCCATCGGAAGGAGACATGGGTTTGAAACCGGGCTCGGTTCGTCATGAGGGCTACGAACCGCCGCACTGTAACTTTTGTGTTATGAACCATTCATTGACCTGTGAGGTCGCCAGAGAACGGCTTGGATCGGGTGCAGGGGAACACCCGACGGACCAGAGAGTTGAGAACTCCTCGTGTGACGCCCAGCGTGCGCGGTGTAGCGAATTTGAAGACGCTAGTGACGCGAAGCAAGGCAGGACCTGTGTGAAGGACGGCGATTCCCTGTGCAATTGGAGGCGTAGACGCCGTGGTGTTGTGTGGTGGTTGCTTCTAATTTTACTCGGGGCGGCGCCCCTGGCGTCGGGACAACTGCGCCCCAATACTGACATCACTACCAGTCGCGCAGAAGGGGGTAAGTTGTGCGTATGTTTAGGGTGTGCCAGTACTGAGGGTTGAAGGGCTGACTGAACGTGAATACAAACGAAATTGCTTGGGCCTCATCTCGGGAGCAGCGAAATTATTGCAACGTCACTTTGTGCCGGGGTATCCCAGTTAGTGTGATGGCTGAGAAGCCGGCTGGACGACCAAGGAATTTGGTTTGAGTCCCGGCTGTGACAGATCTGGACAACTGACCTCTCGCCATACTCTTCAGGCTTGGCCGGAGACCGCGAATGCGCAGTGGGTTCGAGCCAGACGTATATAATAAATGGTGTGGTGAGGGCGTAGGGTTCAGTTCCCTCCCCCTCCCGCCGTGGTTCTGCCTTCCGACAAACGCGACTCACTGTACATATTCCTTTTTGTAATGCGCAGGCCGACGGCCACGGCTGGAAATATGTCAGTGTAAAACCTTATTTTGTTGGCTTTGAAGATCTCGTATCATTATGACTGTAAAAGGTAGGCCTTCCAGGTTGTAACACCTTATCTTTCGGAGAGATCCCGACATTTCGCAGGAATATGTCGCCTCCATCTTTAGGAAGCGAAGCAGAAAACCAGCAGTAGGAAGCTACAAGCAGAGCTCTACGCTTCCCTCGTACTTGGCCTGAAGATAGGAGGCGATGTTCTTCCGAAACGGCGGGCTGTCTCCGAGCTCTAAGGCATTGCAATGTTGTTCTCCCCAGGATGGCTTTGAAGTACGCGCTTTGACTGCTGTTTGTTTTTGTGGTCCGCTTAACGATTCTAAGTATAGGAGACTGTAGCGTGTGCTGATAGGCTCGTAAATGAACGATGAATGGAAAAAGGATTTCGAAGGGAGCGGTTGCGGCCTGATTGAGGTTCTCTTTCAGTGTTTGCGTGCAGCGACTGAGGAAAAACGCGAGGAACGTCAGTGTGTAGGACTCTGTGTTCTCACAGCGCTCATAATGAAGAGTTCTCTGTGCTTGGGATATAACGCGTTGTGGACTGTTGAAAGTTAACCGACGTTTCGGAGGAGCATGTCGCTTCCACCTTCAGAGTCGAAGAATAAGCGAAGCAGGAAACCAGCGTGAAGGAAGTAGCAAGCGTGCGCATATTTGTTGAACCTGAAGATGGAGGCAATATTTCCGTCCGAAACGTTGGTTGACTTACAACGGACTACACCGCGATGTATTCCAGAAGCTGAAACTCTTGAATCTGCGGTGTCGCGACGGAGACTCGAACGGACCACCCCAGAATTCGGTTTGATTGCGTGTATGGTGGCACTGATTTGGCGTCATATCAGCTCGCGCTTGTTATCTGCTTATCGCGTGTTTTTGATTTGAATGGTGAGTGTATGAATTGTTGACAGTATCAGTGACGGACGAGCAGCCAATCGGAACTTGCTTGTGCGAATGTTGGAGTGGCTCTCAGGCCAGGCTGGGGTGGAGAGGGTCACAGCCGCAGATAACGCTGTAACCGGGACAACAAGAAGGGCTGCTGGCGCCACGGTGTCTAAGCGTGATGCCGTGCGTGGGGATTTGAATGGGGCTGACACCCCATTTTAGAATTCGGAGCCGTTCTCCCCATGACGTGTTCACGTTATACGCTTTCGTACTGTACACTGATGAGTCCTGTCATCATCGTCATCAGGAATGAAGTAAAGTATTTTGGCTTATTAGGCCCTAAACTGCTGTGTCAGCCATGGCCTATTTGGGCCCCAAACTACCGCGTTATCCATGGACTGTTTGGGCCCCAAACTACTGTGGCAGGATGGTCCCTGCTCCTGGAACTCATCGGTAGATGTAAGATTTTTTTTTTTCTGGCGGCTTAAAATCCGACTTTTTTAAAACAGGTGACCGAACCGGATTTTCCATGGCCACGACCACTTGTTTCCAGATGCAGTTCATCACCGCCCGACCCACCGCCTGACGCTGAGAGCGGCCAAAAATAACACGTTTTGGGGTTAGACTTTTGTTTGGCTTTTTTTTGAGCCAAATATTTCTGATTCTGTCCGTGATGTCGTCATTTCCTGGCTAATTGCATTAACCATAGCAACGAGTTGTTGGTTTTTCAAATGTCTGCGTGACCCAAACTCGAGGTCGGACAGTGCTTCGTAAAATTCGGGCATGTAATCTCGAAAGGAAGGAGAATTAGTGTGGCGGTGAGCCCCCCCCCCCCATTGATCCCCTGCCTCGGTGCTGTGTACACTCGGCCTTCTGAATTCATTTACACCTGGCCGGGTTCTATTTGCGGCGTCACAAGTGTATTGTTTTGTTTTCTGGTGCAAAAATAGCGCCTGCGTGGGTAGCTCTTATCTCTGCTAGTGGAGTATGTGGCCACGGCAGACGGTACCAGGTACTCGTGGCTCTCCCTCGCTACTTCTTACTAGGATGTGCCGTGAAATAGGCTACGGCCGCTTCTCGTCGTGTTTTGAAACTTCCACTGCCGATCCCGGATGTACTCGGGATAATCCACGAATGTATTGCGTTTGATCGCGATGTTCCTCATACCATCAGCGCGTGCGCCTTCGGAGTGGTAACCACTGGGCCATAGTCCTGCCAGATTAATCCACTCTACACCTCATCCTGTTTTTTTAAAAGATCCGGTTTAATATTATCCCCCGAACTGTGCCAAGGTTTCCCAACGACAATTTTGTATGAACTGTTTTTCATGTCATGTTTGTGCCGTCCGACCGCTCTGCGCGCATTAGTCACGTGGACGTCACTCGCACAACACGACCTAGTCACGCAAGACCATAATCCCCGTCTTACTGTCGACAAAAAACAACTTGCATGACGTAGTGGTAGATGGGAGGATGTAAACAGTGTCATCTCCAGAATATCAGGCTCAGGTCACGGAACAGTGGTGTGCTTTTGTGAACACGGTAATGAACCTTGCCGGGGATTGCCCAGCGAGTTGGGCACCAATCGCCCTCCCAAGGATCTGCCCGAGCTGGTTACCCGTATTTGTGACGTGCTCCGTTCAAATCCCAGTTGGGGCATCGGGGTGTCCTGGTGAAGCGTTTCTGTCGAGCCAAGCAAGTGCCTGGATAATACCTGGATTAGGCTATAACAGTTTCCTTCCTGACCCCATGGAGATGCATAAAGCTACAGGGTGGGCCGGGGTGATAACGTCAATGAGGGAACGCACGAACGTGGGTAATGCGCGTGCGCGTGGGGTGAAGTGTTTAGTTTCTGTGCTAAGGCAGGTGGTAGCACTGCCGTTTGGTTCGCTGGGCGATCAGAAATGTCACTTTCAATGACAGCCGTCCGAAGTGGGCCCAGATCGGGAAGGAGCCCTGACCTTTGGCTCGCAGAGCAGTAAACAAGTGCGCGCTCTGTTGTGCCGGCGACCTTGGCAGAGCTTTGCCCCCGTCGGACAATTTAACGGTTCTGTCCCGTCGGCCCGCTCAGGGGGAAGAGAGGGGCTCCCGTGGGTTTCCACTGGTGTCGAGGAGACCATTGTGTCGTGACGGCTTGCGCGTCTGCACTCTGCAGCGGTAAGTCTTGTGGTGGGGTGCCGTCGCCAGCCCCGAGTGTGTGAGCAGTCGCTGAAATGAGAATTTGCAGGTGAAACCGAAGTACTCGGAGAAAACCTGCCCCAGTGCCACTTTGTCCACCACAAATCCCACATGACCTGATCTGGACCCGAACCCGGGCCTTGCTGTTAGGTTTACAACGAGGTGCAGGTCTAGATCAGTCCGTACAGCAACGGACTAGAGGCTGGAAGGCCGAAGAATCGGGGTTCAATTCCGCGTAGAGGCAAGAGATTTTCCCATTACGGAGTCCAGACCGTTTCTGGCCCGCCCATCTGATATCTTCTCTCCAGCGAGTACTGAGGACTCTTTCCCCTGCGGTAAAGCAACCGGGGCGTGGAGCTCTACCTCCACTTCCATATAGCCTTCCTAGCATGGTCCTTTGACCGGCACTGTTTTCATGTAACTGAAGGAAGGGCTTGTAGCACGCATGGAAGAGTAGGAACACCCGAAGGAAAGAACGTGCCAGTCAGTGGCGAGCTCCTGTAATCACGGCAATGCACTGTCGTGTTCCATAAGACGTTGCTATAATGTGAGGATTAGCTGAGCCACTGCTAGCTTCTCCGTAAGCACTCTACCCCATGGAGTTCGTTGGAAGATGCAGCGCCCGACATGCCTCAGATGCCATGTAGTGACACATTCCAGGTTTGGTTAAAATCGGGCAGCAGTGACGGGTGGCAGTGTTTCTACCCACTCTGGTCCCTTGCTTTGTTTAGCGTGTGTAGGCCACATTGTCAAGGGCCAGACACGGGTCTCTCAGACTCCCACTTTTTGCAGTGTTTCGGAGGCCCCGAGTTCGAATCTCCGCCCTGAGACGGACGGAATACAGAGTTACTGAATGTGAATAAAACTATCGATCTTAGCGGTTGTATATATTGGTGGCATGTAGCACGCATGGGCGAGAACAGTAATCCGTACAGGGTTTTTGGTGGCAGCACCGGAAGGAAAGGAACCACTGGGAAGACCTAGACGTAGGTGGGAGAATAGGATTATAACGGATGTTAGAAAAACAGGATGTGAGGTTGTGGACTGATGGCAGCTCAGGATAGGATAGGAACCAGTGGCGGGCTGTTGTGAAAACGTTGATGAACTTTCGGGTTCCATAAAATGTTGGGAAATTCTTGAGTAGCTGTGCGACCGGTGGCTTCTCAAGAAGGACTCAGCTCCATGCAGTTAGTCTGTCAGTGTGTGGGTGTGAAACCCGGTCTCTCACATTAAAGGAAGAGCATAGGCTAATGCTGTTTGAGAACAGGCTGGAAACAGAGTTATGCTGACAGACTTGGAGGACATGAATTAGGCGGAAAATTAAATGCATGTGAGACATAAAATTTTAATAGGAAAGCCTAAGGGTGAGATCACTCGGTAGAATTAAACGTAAGTGAATAGATAATGTTAAAATGTATATTGGAGAAATAGAATATGAGGTGACTGCAGACGCCAGAGTGGAGATGGGAGGGAAATGTCAAACTGGCCCTCGTGGATGC